GTTTTCCACTCGATATCTCTGTTTGCTTTTATCTATTGTTGGCAAAAATCTTCTGATATTTTCAACATAATAGTTGTAAGTAGATTAGTGCATAATCTCCACTTTTCGAACTCCCATCTGACCCGACATTGTCTACTTCAATCCGAGTCTGAAAACCTTGAAATCAATTTCACCGACAGAGTCAAAGATTCACAAAACTATGGTGGCGAAAGTTGTGCAATTCCCATAATAAATATTTCAAGAATAAGATATAATTGAGTGGTACTTGTGGTTTTTTTATTGAAAATCCTTATGAACATTCAATGTTCACAATATCAACCACAAAACGAGACAATAAAAATAAAATAAAATCCTATTCTTTTTTTTATATTCTGATTACGTACTTCGATTGATGACAAATTCAATTTCACTATCTTTCAGCTAATTAAAGAAAAGAATTTCTTTAATTAAAACTGAAAAAAAACTTACGAGTAGTTTTTTCTAATGACTTCCTTGCTTTTGTTTTTTATTTGTCAAGTTACTCAAAGGAAGAAATGGTTTTTGAAAAATAGCTTCAATTTCGTCTCGTTGTTCAGATACAACACGAGCTATTTCACTTGTTTGTGCTTCGATTGAATAATAAACAATTATATCATCAGTTCGAATAACTTTAACCTAAACGAAAGAAAATAACTTCAAATCATAATTAATATAAAACAAACTTCTTTTCGAAGTTTTTGAACTCGACTTATAATTTCACGAACAAGACCTTCATCTTTCAATGTTGCATCAACTATATAATCAAGTAAAACAACAAACTATTAATACAGAAACAACATAAAAATCGAAGACAAAAGAAAGAAAACTCGTACGTCTTGTTCAGCAATAGCTTCATATTGTGTTTGTTTAGCAAGACGATAAACAATATGAACATCTTCAGATTCAATTGGTACATCATCAATAACTGTTAATGGACTTTTACTTTCATCTTTTGATAATAATTTTTCAATATCTGTAGCAGACATTTCACGAATTTTTTCAGTTACAGATTTAACTTTAGCTGATTATGAATTTATAATTAAATAAAAATTTAAAAAATAGAAGATATTTACCAGCAGCTTTTTGTCCTAGTGTTGAATGATTTGGTTCAACATCATAAAGTTCACATTGTTGAGATAATGTTACTTTGCGTATATTTAAACCCTTATGTAATAAACACAAATATAAGTATAGAAAAAAGAATATAACATACCTCTCGAACAAAATTTTCTAATCATTGAACATTTTTTAATACTGATGCATCTTTATGAATAACAACAAATTCAGGTAATGGATACTAAACAATAATAATTCATTTTTGAACAATTATATTATTTCAATTTACTTTCATTGGAACAACTTTCGTTCTCGTACAACTCTACCTAATCCAATAACTGTTTGAACAGCAGCTACAGCACGTGCAATATTTTTATTTACTAAAGTTTTTTTAAGACAGAAATTTTATTTTATTTAAATTAATAATAAAAAAACACAAACCGTTATTTTGGAATCATTTGAAAATGAACACTTAATTCTTGTTCAGAAGAAAATGAAGATTGTGGCATTAATTTTCTTCATACTTGATACAGTTGTCGATGCTATATTCGAATGGACTACTTCCAAATTGTTTAGGAAATGCAAACAAAAGACACTTGAGATATTTTGCACAAAGTGTTTTTCGGTCATATATTCGAGTTTATTCGTAATTTGACTATTTAAAGCTTTTTTTACCTAGACAGTGGCACAATTGAAATAAAAGCTGTTTGTCATTCGCCTATTCAGCATTATCCAAACAAACGCATAAACAAATGAAAAATATATTACTCCACAGTGCAAGAATAGAATCGATCCATAGAGATCGAAAGTTCAGGTGCTTTTTACACCCTAGAGTATTCTAAAATGTTTGCGGTTGATTGGTTTAATGTTTTGGTCTCGATTTAAGATAGCAGTTTTTAAAGACTTTCATTTTCGACTAGCTGGCAAATACAAAAAAAAATATTAAGACATGGTTCTTGCTATAGTGTAAACGACATTCCAGAACACTCATTAAATGTAAAAACTGTAATATTAAATAAGTCATTCAAGACATTAATTTCATGCATTTTTTAAAAGTCAGACTTTCGAAAATCTTACAAATTTTTTTGATGCTGATGGTCGAAGGGACAAGAATCTCTAAAACGAATGAAAAGATTAAACGAATCTAACAGACACAACAGCTCTTGTATCATTGCATTGTTTCTATAGGTAGTCATCCTATATTTACTAAGAAGGAGTGTAACATGTAATCTATTTCTATCAGTAGCTATCGTCATCATTCATATAAGAGAAAATATTGAATGAGATACCACCTGAACAATTATATTAAAATAAGATACATACGTTTAGGTCTAGGGAAAAAGAATTAATATAACAAGAGAGATTCAATATAAGATGATGATAATATAAAATGACAAAGCATCATACAATACAGAAAAATCTTCTCTTCTGAATTTAGTATTCAGGATAATCAAGATTATAGTTGAGTGTGGGAGTAGGTGAGATGACGACTATAACTCACACCTGACAACGACAATACGATATGTTCTGTGTCACAATTATCTACCATACAGTTGTGTTATAAAATGAGAGCTTCATATGAATAGTATAACATAGGATTAAACTTCAAAACACAATAAAACTTCAGAATGACTCCAGATATCAGAGAAGAACGACAGAAACTTAAAATAATACTGAAGAAACATCTATTTCTAGTTGAAACAAAAATATCACTTCGAAATGCATTCTATATTCGTTAGTTTATATATCAATATCTATGAGATTGTTTATAAAAATTGGTCATTTTTCAGAGCATATTGTCATACTATTACACATATCATAATAGCTATTATAATCGTAAAAGACAAAATATAGAAAAAATATACCAGAGATCCGAAACTCGGTGAATTTTCGGATATCTGTTGACAATATGTGTGTCAAAATAACGTAATGTCTGACAATCGAACGAATCTTTATTCATATTAATATGATATTAATAAAAGAATATGAGAATGAACTGTCTATACTATTATTATTCAACAGATGTTAGTGAATAGAACTAGATGATGGAAGAAAGATTTAGAACCATTGTAGATAATACTTGAACATGAAAAAAAAATCATATAGACGCTAAGCTGCCTATGTGTTTTTAATATAGTTTTCGAGAATGATGTAGTAGTTGAATACGTACTGAGTTTATACTTATTATCTATAGCGTAAGGAGATACTCATTTTGCTTAGCATAACTATCATGATACAGAAATATCGACAGAAAGATATACAAATCAGTTTTATTGTAAAAATTTGTCTAAACAGAATCGTTGAGGGACATAAGGTTTAAAAATACAACAGACGGCAATAGATAGTTCTATCAATCCGATTCTGAGCGTCAACTATTTCGGATACCTAGAATAAGTACTAGATAAACAAAAACCAGAATTTATTGATTAAACCAAGTACATTGTTTCACGAGCTTTTACTTTTCTGAGTAATCGAAAAATTTTTCTGCTAAAAATATATTTTGTTTCATGTGAAGTGGTCGCTTCCAAATGGTAGGTTTCCTTTCATTGAACTTAACATTAGAATTATTTGTTTCATTAATATATGGACTAACAATTGATTGGTTTGTGTTTTTAAGATTGATAGCTTTTTGATGCCAGTAAACACTCTTGTCATACTCATGGTTCTGTGATGCAAGTTTGCCAAGATCTTCGTACAAACTACAAAGTAAAGAAACATTTGGCGGGAGTTATTCTAAGAAGTGAATAAAGTATTTTTCAGTTAGATCAGGTTTTCCCATCTTCCATAATACTTTTCATAATGTTTGAAGATTTGTTTCTCCATTTCCAAGTTGTTCTATTATATGCATGCTAACTTGTTCTAAATCATGTTCATTCTTAATACATAACGTCATTTGAATGATCCATAGTTGATTATTACCGCTGTAATCGATGCTGTTCAAACGAAAAATAGAATCAAGCATAAAGAGTATTTCTGATTCGCCAGAAAATTTCCTGTATGCACTGATATCGGCAAATGGTTTTGTAATTGCTATCTTAGGATGAGCAACGATTTCAAATAATATTGGCTCTAAATTGTTTGCATCATTAGAAACGTTGAGAAATGAAAGGGCTTGTCGATAGTCAGTAGTAGTAGAAAAAAATGAATTCACAGAAATAAACTGATCATGACACTGTTTTAAAGTTTTCAGTTCATTTTTTGATATCATTTGCCCTCGATAAACTTGTAGAGAGTTTTTAGCTTAATTTTGTTTTAATTCACGTTAAATATCAGAGGTGAATGTACGAAATAAAAAAAATCATATGAATATTTTCGGTGCGTAGAGATGCATTAAGAGTCTTGTAAAAGAACGATTGTCATGTGTATCACCGTAAAACTTTGTCGGATGAATAACTGTTTTCAAATTCACAAATATTATTCAACTCAACACTATTACCTTCATATAGTTGTTTACAACGATTTATAAGTTCTTTTATGTCTTTTTCGTTAGGTTTTAGTCGTAGAAGACCACCAATAAGAACTTGAGAAAAGACAAATTTACCATTTACATCAGCTGTTGACTTGCCGGTGTTAGAACCTGTAGTAAAATAATTAATTGACAAAGACTTCTTCTATGGTTTTCTGAATTTTATGATCCTTTTTAATTTGAGAAACGAGTTCATCAAGTTGAGCAACAACAGCTTTCACCTATCAAAAAAGAAATGGTAACATGAAACTGAAATCGATAGAATAATTTTACTTTTACAAATCAGTCAGCCCATTTTTGTGACCTTCCTTATCCATGCAGTACACATAGATTGACAAAGCTTGTCGAAATCTGCGAATAGAAGGGACTATTTTTCGTCCCAATTGACCACCAAACAATCATGATTAGTCGGTCGTTTTTTGATTGTTCTTCAATATATTTTTGACGTTGTTTTATATCTTGAAACTTTTTGAGTTGATTAATGATAGAAAGTAATTTTTTTCTGTACTTCGAGCATCTTCGGCGTTTATGTTAGCATCGAGCCATATGAGGCAGAAAATCTCAAGATGCTTATCGTCAACGTTTGTGTAAAAATCATCAGTTGATAAAATAGCAGTAGCCATGTTGATCAAAAAGATTAAATCTGGTTGATGTTTTCAATGTTGTCTTTTCGATTTAGTTATGAAAAGTATGAATATTTTTGGGAGTCTAAATCAAATTTAAACTCGCACTTTTATTATTTTATTTACTACTTAGTATTTATGATGCAATGTAAATGGATAGAAGAATTAAATATTCACATTTATCGAAGAAAATGACTTCCCTTGAATCCTTAGCTTTTCTAGATAAGATCATCGAACCAAGGTGTAAAACTTTAGCATGGATTGAAGTTATTTATATTTCTCGTCTAGTCATGTAGCATGAATATAAATAAGACTACATCATCTCTCACTAAGTTGAGCATTGTCAGTTGATAGTGTGTAGATTTTTAACTTCAATCAGTATGAATCATAGTCTTGGTTTCCTCCTGTAGAAAACTTCAACAAACTCAGCTGAATCTATCAAAGCGAGTCGTATATGCAAAAAATGTTGTTTCATACATGATTGACAAGGTTCTAATATTTGACAGAGTTCTATAAAATGCCAATAAAAGAAATGATATGCTCAACTTTGCTTCAAAAAAGTGTCATCTTCTTTGAATTTTTCAAATATACGATAGTAAAATATAAATTTGTAGTCTTCATTCTCTAAATATTATTATTGGAGATTTTACATTGAGATAGCTGCCAAGTAGGCAGAAGACTTTTTTTCTTTGAAACCTTCTGTAAAGTCGAAAAGATCACAAGAACAAAAAGATAAATCTTTTTTTATATCTGAGTGAATGAATTGTTTTTTGTTTACATGTGACGTATATTTCAAAGAAGATGGAATCTTTCTTAGAGTGTGAAGTTCATCTTTTCGATCATGTTGATTTTAAATCTTAGATAATATGCTGCTCATACTTTCGTCCAACGTATGAAATAGACAACAAACATTTCACATGGTATTTATTTTTCTAATATTGATAGTACACTGAGAGAAATCGCGTTATTTGAAACAGAAACGCGAACGATGACAACATTCATATTCATAAAAGATTCTAAGGAAATCTGTTACTATTTTAAAAATTCAGATATATTTCGAACGGAAAGAGAATTTTTTTAACGTAGAAAATGACCAACATTTTCCTTTTTCTTCTAGTGTAACTTGATTTAAAGCTGTAGGTGTTACCATTAATTCCAGATGATTCAAACGAAAAGAAAGAGTTCTTTATTTGATTTATCACTCTGTAGATGAAATTTATTTCTGAGACTTCAAAGAAATGTATCGCAGTGGCTCTACATTATTTCATTATTAAGAGATCAACAATGCTTTGTTATTTCAAAACTTTATTTCGGTCGCACACTCATTCCTATCAAACAAAGTTAGCAAAGAAATTTACGGTTCTCGGTGACGAGAAAGAGCACACTTGAGACAGAAGCTCTTCAAAAACAAATGTTTTTATAGGCATGAAAATTCCGTTAAAACATCCTTTTTATAGGAATTTTTAATGAGTATAAACGTACTAAGAATAGAGAAATCTGTTAAAATACATAATTTTTTCTCAAGCTGCGTGTTTTTACGAATTTCTCTGGTCATTTCTACCAGTTTTATCGCGTTTATAGTTTCAGACCATAAACCGAAACGAGTCAGAAAAATCAAGACTTGACTCGACTAGAAAAATATGCATCAGTCACTATTGATCATAATTTTGTTTCCATGTAGATATCCACAATTTTGCTTTCTTTCTTAGCTATCTCCACAGCTATAATTGTGAGATTGCGAAAGCCTGCTCTCTTACGAGCCACACAGGTTACTTAAGTTTCTCAAAAATCTAGTCGATGAACATTTGCGGATCGTTGAATGATCGATCGTTCTCTACTATGTGCATCAATTATAGATTGTCTCGCAGAGTATGCTGGGTTTGAATTTATCAGATGTTGAAAGCGTTGGAGTGTATGATAATTATGCATCTGAAATAAGTAAAACATACGAGAATAGGATGGATGAAGATAATACAGACTAGCCATTGAGGAAGTTTGCGATTTAATTCGAGCAAAAACTTGCAGAATAGAAGCAGGCTAAAACTCGACATGAAGCGCCGAAAAAAGTACAAAGTGCTATTCTATCATTTTCGGCTGTGCACATCACTCAAACCATTATTTCAATCCCTTGCTGGTATCACTCGAGAAAGATATTATTTGATGTGTCTGAAGAGTCGTGTCCTGCATATTTGACTCGACTCGGTTTCGGTCTATGACCCACACCCACCCACACCCACACCCACACACCCACACACCCACACACCCACACACCCACATCCACACCCACACCCACACCCACACCCACACCCACACCCACACCCACACCCACACCCACACCCACACCCACACCCTTAGAATCTAAAATTTTAGGGTTAGTAGTTTGAGACATTGAAGTTTTGAATGAGCAAAAAAAATCGAAAAAAAAATTTTATCGAGTGCCTCGTATATTGGAGCGATGCTCGATCAGCTCATGGAAGCTCTCTTAAAGTATAAATGATATCACACAATATTATACACGAAATTAATGCTCCTTAAAAACTGGATTTATGAGTTTACTTAGTCGACTGTACAGAAAATATTGGTTATGGAACTATTGAAATGTCTTGAACTATGCACTGTAAAAAAAAGGAACTTTACCGAACCTCAAAAAAGGTTTGGTAGATGACAAAAAGCTTGCAAATGTGTTCAAAGTTTCAAAAAAAGAAAAAAAAATATACAGAACCTTTAAAGGATCCTACCATGTACCCAGATGAAGATCCTTTTTCTTCGAAACCTTTTTAAGTTCCGTAGACCATAGAAAAATAGGTTTTGTAGGAAAATACTGAACCTCTAGAGTTTCGTATTAAACCTCGTGGTTTCGTACTGGGTTTCCTATAAAACTATTATATTTAATACGAAACTCTAAAGGTTTCGTATTTTCCTACAAAACCTATTTTTCTTTGGTCTACGGAACTTAAAAAGGTTTCGAAGAAAAAAGGATCTTCACCTGGGTACACGGTAGGATCCTTTAAAGGTTCTGTGTATTTTTTTATTCTTTTTTTTGAAGCTTTGAACACATTTTGAAGCTTTTTGTCATCTACCGAACCTTTTTTGAGGTTCGGTAAAGTTTCTTCTTTTTACAGTGTATGGTTCAGGACATTTCAATAGTTCCATAACCAATATTTTCTGTAGTCTACTAAGTAAACTCAAAAATCCAGTTTTTAAGGAGCATTAATTTCGTGTATAATATTGTGTGATATCATTTATATTTTAAGTTGCAGAAGGGAGCGTAATGAGTTTGTAACGCTAGATTTATATACTAGTGCCGGCGCCAGAAATAAATGGAGAAAATTCTGAGAACAATATCTCGCGAACGGATACAGCTACCGATGTCGGCTTTTCAGCATTAGAAAGAGTGTGATTGCGGGGTCAGATATATATCATATTCACGAGATTAGCGAATGATCAAAGTTTTTAACTACCGTCAAAGATTTTGTGCCCTACCGAACAAAAACGTTTTCAAAAAGAATTTCAATTCCAAAGTCATCATTCGATAGCGCAAAGTCAGCTCTTCCAATCTACGCAAACCCGAACTTTTTATCATGTACCATTCAAAAATTACTCTTCCTACAGTGGAAGTAGATCACGCGTCAAAAATATGATTTTTTCGAGTGAGAAGACTTTTTTCATTGTTTATGAATGGCAGCTTTCGACAATTATGAGTCGCGTAACAACAAGCGGATTGTCATTTAGGCATAATTGACTTCAATCGCTACTACGTTTTATCGTTTTCTTCCAAATCTGATACAAATGACACTGTTCACCACACATCATCTCTTCTATTTGTCAGTGCTTTTAATTAACAAAGATTTATTGTGCAACGAATCAAGCAACAACGTACTCAAATATCCGTGCTATCATCGCTATCATCGGAAAGATTATCAATCTCGGTGTCCGATACGTCGTCGATTAATTGTGGTTCAACAATATTTTCTACAAAATTATCTGCTGTTTTGTACGTCATTTCAAGTTTTTCAGCATGACGAATGGCATCTTGTGCAGCCTTATCATCAAAACCAGCGATAAATTCGGCGGCTAATTCATAAACGCTGCTCATTGTAAAGTTGGTATTGTTTTTGCGAATATAATCTTTTAATGCAGCCCAGGTGAGCTCAATGGGATTTAATGAACAATGTCGCACTGGGAGCCGCACGATTTGTACGTCGAATTCTTGTGCAACTTCGTCGATTTAATGAACATAAATTGAAAACATGTAAATATTATGAAACAGCTTATACCTTATAGTTTTTTCTGGGCTTATTTTCCGAAGCAATCTCTAACAATTCTGATTTCTTTAATGTCGGATCAAATTCGATGTCGTGATTTTGCAACCATTCGATTATCTGATTTTTCCGCATCGATCTCTTTGCAGGCTTAGTACTTTCGGTAAGCTCTGAATGCCATGTGGCATTATCGATGGCTATGGCGATTCGTTGGCTGGGGCCTTCAATCAAAATTAAAACTTAAGAAATTCTTCTTTAAAAAGACTTTACCATTGTCTTCTCGTAGACGAAAAGCTGCCTTTTTAATCCATTCACTAAAGTATGATGACGTCATCGAATGATCTTTTGAGCAGTCGAAGATATCGACAGAAGGCAGATGAAAGCCATTCTTATCAATCATAGCAGATATTCCCAATCGAGTACCTATATTAAATATATATGCATACATAAATATTTTCTCGGGAAGAATAATTAGCGTGATACCTTTTCCATCTGTTTTTCTAAGTCTTCCTTTGCCAGAATCATCAACCCATATTGATCTCTTCTCTTCGTTAATATTCACCCAAGTTTCATCATGAAATAAAATCAAGGCATCAGCTTTTCGTAATTCATTAATTTTGCGAAAATAACAAGCTCGTTGGGCAACGAAAGAGTTGTCGTCAAGTAATACCTTTACTTTGCTTGTCATTTGATAGGTAAAGCCTAATCGATGTATATGTCGCCGAAGAGTGGTTTCTGAGCGAACTGGAAAATCTTTGTGAGCTGAGAGAAGACGTTCAAGAAGAATAGCAATAGTAGGATAGATCTTTTCAGCCAGCAACAGATGAAACTGGAATCGAATCTCATCATCAGCTTCTTCAGATAATTGAATCGATGGACGTCCTGGAATTTTACGAAGAGCCTTTGGTTGAATCGTATTTGTCAGGCTATGACATCTATACTAAGATATACTGTTTCTTCTTGCTACGTTTTCCTCCTCTTTTTCCGATATATATATATACTATACTTGTTACTTGTTTACATCAGATAAAAAAATAAACAAAAAAAAGATTAAGTTCTACTTGATTGAACTCACGAATTTCATTAATTTTATTAATTATGAAAGTAGATCTTAACAATGGTGACAGCGGTTATTGCACTTATAATTATCATCGAATAATTTATTATTGTTATTAGTTTGGGAACATCCTTTTACCAAGGATTGTGCCTGTGGTCTAATTCTTTTTATATGTTATATTTATGAATACCAGATCTAATTTGGATTTACATATAATTCCTATCTCTCAATTACAATATACATCTTCTTGTCGACAACCAAAAAATACATCAGTCTCTTCATTTAATTCTATTATAGCTATGGCTGATGCACAGTCTACTGTTGAATCAAATGCTGATAATAAACTACAAGATATTGATTCCTTTCATGTTTCCTTAAAAAATTTGGACATGTTACGTGAATATGAAAATCAACGTTTAAGTGTTATAAAAATGTTAACAATGGAAGAAATGATGAATATTGCTCAATGGCTATTAAGTTTATATAATATCTATGAAGAATTACGTTATCCGTTATTGTCTCGTGTCTCTAATGTAATACGATATTTTCAGGAAGAAGAACAGATATGGTTTCAACATACACAGAGTGAAATAAATAATGATTGGTCTTGTTTTTGTATGAAATTAAAACAACATATTCATCATCGATTACAGTCTTACAATGTTAATTCCCTTACAGATAAATCCATTTCATTTGTTAGTGAACCAAATCAACTTAAACAACTTATCAACGGTAATTTCATTAAATATGATGGTAAAGATGATGCTAAACGGTGGTTGCTAGCAACCATTAATAAATTTAAAGATTATCAGTTACCTGAATCTGATCAACTGCAAAGTATACCACTATTATTGGAAGATAAAGCATTACTTTGGTATAAAGAAAATGAAAAGTTAATTATTAGCATTGAAAAATTTCGTGAATTATTTCTCCAACAATTTACAATCATCAATCCTAATCCTGATACGATTAATTTGCTACTTGCTTCCGAATTATCTATTACAATGACTCGTGAACTTATTCGCACACCTATTTATTTTTCCGGCTTAAAAGATGATGTATTTGACTGGCTTGAAAAAATTGAACGACGATTTAGAATGGCAAATTGGGATGATGACAATAAATTAAGATATATTTCTATACATTTGCAAGACGATGCATATAAATGGTGGATTCAAGCCTCAAAAAAGATTTTGACTTGGCCTGATTTTGTTAAAGATATTACGCAAGCATTTACATCAGCAAAAATGAAAGAATTGGCATTTGAACAACTACGATGGTATAAACAATCGGTCAACCAAACAATTACTCAATATTATGATCAAATTTTAGAATTATGTACGCGAATTGATCCCGACATGCCTGATTCTTTGAAATTACAATATCTTATTGCTGGTGTTAAGGAATCATTGAAACTACATATAGCATTACATGATCCACAAACCAGTGAATCTTTTTTTACATATGCAAGAAAATTAGAAGCCACATTATCATTTACTAATAGTATTTATGACAATAATCAAACAAAGGATCATCATGATGCTGCTGCAATGCAACAATTTCCATCTTCTTTCAATAATTATTCTCAACAATATAAAAACAAACAAAAAGATTATGTTCAACGTTCACGAACTCCAACTTACCAATCATTTCGTAACTATATTCCATTCAATACAAAGCATACTCATACTAATCAACCCCAATATGAATCATCAAAATCAAAGTCAGTTATTTGTTATAATTGTGGTACTCCCGGACATTATTCTCGGGACTGTACCCGTTCCCATTTCGAGTAAGGGAAGCATCAGTCGATGGTGTTGCTTCCAACATTTTATATAATAATCCATCGATATATAATACTTCTTTATTATATTTAACTACTTTAGTAAATAATCAAACTACGAAAGTAATGATTGATACTGGTGCCAATA